ATCGATGACAGAATATTCGATATTCTGTCATCAGAATATCGATGACAGAATATTCGATATTCTGTCATCAGAATATCGATGACAGAATATTCGATATTCTGTCATCGGAATATCGATGACAGAATATCGATACTCAGAGCAAAATTATTTAACCTTTTAGATAAGTTCTGCGCAGCACCATGCAGAACTTTTCCTCCTCGCTCTCTTAACAGATGAAAAAGGAGACAAACAGCAGATGTTGCTTCGCAAAAAATAAATAAATAAATAAATAAAAAACACGTATTGCTTCATCTGCAGCTCAACAGAGACGAGTGACGTCTCTACTGTTATTAAAAGCTGACATAGGTCCGTCCTGAGCGCACAGAGGAGCTTTATTTATGTTTGTAACACAGAAGTAGAGCTGAAAGTTTACAACACTGAGCATGTCCGGACTTTTATTCTGAATAAAAGTTCGGTGCATGTAAACACTTTTCATGATCGGATTGTGTCCATGTAAACAGTACATTCGGATTATTTAATCTGAATACATTTCAATCTGATCAAAACATTTTGTGCATGTAAACATAGCTACTGAGACGATGAGAGCAGCTCACGTATGGGTTCATATTTGTGTCCACTCATCTTTGGCCTGTCACTTTGTCAGTAGGATGTTTTGACTGTCAGTAAGTCACAGTCAGTGGTGCTTATATGTGACAGCTCAGCCTGACTCATGTTGGGCAGAGTGAACATTCATATCCATATAAACCCAAGCAGAAATGTGTCTGCTGTTTAGCTTGTTGTGTTGGCATACATGACTGCTTGCACACACTGCACAGTCAGATTAACTATTTTACTGTTTGTAGAGCCATTTCCAACATGTAGCTACACTGTTTAAGCTTGTATCATTTTTGTCTGTTTAATAAGAAGACTGTGTTTAAATGCATCAGTGCATGCCTCATTTCATGTGTGAAATCTACACAGGTGGAAAATTTGTGTTTCAGTCTGGTTGTTTTGTGTGTTTTGGAGACGATGTTTTGTCTTCCACAAACTTTACATGAATGTCACTGTGACAAAGTAGGTCAGATCATTAACTCACAACTTGTCACCTGATTATTATTATATTATTCTATTGTTTCCACTCAATATGCCGGTGTGTAGGAGGACCCAACACTTTCTATAAATGAAAATAAAATGAGGCCCAGCACTTCCTCATTTTATTACTTCCCTGATTTTTGGGTCAAACAGAGTAGAGAGGATTTTCTTTGGATGCTCGTCAAACGCTCAGAACAATTCAAACACAACGCACCACACTAGACTCACATCCATCCCAGACTGTGGATGTAAACCTGACGCTGAAAACACTTTCATTATCACTGTGTCATTAAAACTTTCTTCTTTTTGATTTTCCTTCAGACTGTGTTGCTGAGTCATGCTTTAAGAGTTAGTTTTGTTTGGATTTTAAATGTCTAATTAAGTTGGTGATGTTGTGTAGCTCTCTGACTATTATCATGTGAAAATCTTGAATAGCAAACTTTCAAAGTAACTAATAAACTGCTATCATTGTTTATTTTAAAATAAGTCCTTCCCATGGAAATATTGTCAGCTTCTATATCAAAACTATTCAACTAAACTGCTCCGGGGGCCACAGCTGAGGGGCCGAACATCCAGCAATTAAAGTCATTATCATGGAGTTTCTATAGAACAGCTGGAGTGCGCAGAAACCAGGTGACCATGTGATCGGCTGGTGAAGCTAACAGCTAACGCTAAACGGTCAAGAGTCTAGACTTACCATTACTGTACATGTTGACAACAGAGCAGAAAAAAAGGACTGACCATGTAGAAATCATAAAAACTATTAATAATAATATTAACCCTATTATTATTAATATTTTACAGATTATATAATCTATCTAATGTTTTAAATGACAGAAAACCTGTCTGTTATGGATTTATTAACAGAAGAGAAACAGGAAAACGTCTCATTTCACAACACAAGTCAGCAGATTTGATCTTATTTAGCTCAATGTGATCTGA